CATTTGCTTTCTTAAGCTCTGTCAAACACGAATATGGGAAAGGAACGGTCTAAAATGTGGCAAGATTAGACCAGAGCCGCATATTAATCTGCTTAAAATGTTTTTTATTAATGCCAAATAAAATATCCAGCACAAATGATGTATGATAGACAAACATGAATCATTTGTATATTTTACTCTCATATTTAGTTTGCGGGACGGCAGACTGAGGTCCTGTGTTGCTCTCTCGTCTGTGTTGGTTCATCCTCTTGTGAAGTGGCTCGGTGTTTTGTCCTTCGTTTGGACCAGTTTCCGTCTTAAAGTGTTTGTAGGTTTGAAACAGACTGGGATCTCATGTTGTCTGAAAATCCTCTGTAGTTTTTCCCATAGAAATACATGTAGACCACCCCCAGTGTGATGTCACGTTCTACAATTCGCTCATGTTATAGTTTCAGACGTTGTGCAGGGGTTTTTAAAACTCTAGGAGAGATTCACTGTTTTTAAAATGTCGAAACTTCTGCAAACTTCATAAATGTTGAAGCTCATTATTTGTTTGAGATCAGCTCCACAAACGTGTCATATTAATCTTACGGTTTTAAAGTCCTTTGAGATGAAACACTCGCGTCTTTGGGGCTGATTAATGGCTCCACTTTCTGAAGTCATCGTGTGAAAATCATTTTAGTGACGGAGAAGAGGCTGAACTCTGCGTCCCTGTAATTACAGAGATATGAGCCGTAAACCAGGTCAACAAATCTGACAGTTACAGAGGAACGTCTCCAGGTCTGTTTAAAGAGACAAGGTTACACTGTTTTCTCCGTCCTGGTCTAGTCCTGGTCCAGTCCTGGTCCAGTTCTGGTCCAGTCCTGGTCCAGTCCTGGTGTAGTCCTGGTCCAGTTCTGGTCCAGTCCTGGTGTAGTCCTGATTTAATCCTGGTTCAATCTTGGTGTAATTCTGGCCCAGTTCTGGTCCAGTCCTGGTGTAGTCCTGGTCCAGTTCAGGTCCAGTCCTGGTGTAATTCTGGTCCAGTCCTGGTTTAGTCCTGGTTTAGTCCTTGTTTAATCCTGATCTAGCTCTCGTCCAGTTCTTGTCCAGTTCTGGTCTGGTCCTGGTTTAGACCTGGTTTAGACTTCGTTTAGTTCATTGTTTAGACTTTGTTTAGTCCTGGTTTAGACCTCGTTTAGACCTGGTTTAGTTCTGATTTAGACCTGGTTCAGTCCTGGTTTAGACCTGATCCAGTCCTGGTTTAGTCTTGGTTTAGACCTGGTTTAGTCCTGGTTTAATCCTGGTTTAGTCCTGGTTTAGACCTGGTTTAGTCCTGGTTTAGACTTGGTTTAGACTTGGTTTAGTCCTGGTTTAGTCCTGGTTTAGACCTGGTTTAGACCTGGTTTAGTCCTGGTTTAGTCCTAGTTTAGTCCTGATTTAGACCTGGTTTAGACTTGGTTTAGTCCTGGTTTAGACCTGGTTTAGTCCTGGTTTAGTCCTGATTTAGACCTGTTTTAGACCTGGTTTAGTCCTGGTTTAGACCTGGTCCAGTCCTGGTTTTGTCCTGGTTCAGACCTGATTTAGTCCTGGTTTAGTCCTAGTTTAGTCCTGGTTCAGTTTTGGACACATGTATTGTAGTCTATGGTTCAAATCGATTACGTCACATATCACACACCCCCTCTTAAAAAAATCCCCACTGCGCCTCTGATCTCCATGGAGACAAAGTTCCACAGTGCACCTTTAAACTCTCCTCCACACTCGTCCCCGTGTCCCTGATCGTTCTGTGTTTTGTGTTTCGCGTCTGTCGGTTTTGGAGCGACGACATCTGCATCTGCACAAACACATGAAACACACTGAGCCGATACCGGCTCCGGCTCTGGCTCCGGCTCCGGCTCCGGCTACGGCTACGGCTCCTGCTGCGGCTCCTGCTGCGGCTCCGGCTGCGGCTCTGGCTGCGGCTCTGGCTCCGGCTGCGGCTCTGGCTCCTGCTGCGGCTCCGGCTCCTGCTGCGGCTCTCTCCGGCTCGGCTGCTCTGGCTCCGGCCCTGCTCCGGCTCTGGCTCCGGCTCTGGTTCCGGGCTCTGGCTCCGGCTCCTGCTCTGGCTCCGGCTCTGGCTCCGGCTCCTGCTGCGGCTGCGGCTCCTGCTCTGGCTCCTGCTCCGGCTCCGGCTCTGGCTCTGGCTCTGGCTCTCCGGCTCTCTGGCTCCGGCTCCTGCTCCGGCTCTGGCTCCGGCTCTGGCTCTGGCTCCGGCTCTGGCTCCGGCTCTGGCTCTGGCTCTGGCTCCGGCTCTGGCTCCGGCTCCTGCTGCGGCTCCTGCTCTGGCTCCTGCTCCGGCTCTGGCTCTGGCTCCGGCTCTGACTCTGGCTCTAGCTCCGGCTCCTGCTGCTGGCTCCGGCTCTGGCTCTGGCTCCGGCTCCGGCTCTGGCTCCGGCTCTGGCTCTTCGGCTCTGGCTCTGGCTCTGGCTCTGGCTCCTGGCTCTGGCTCTGGCTCTCCGGCTCTGGCTCCGGCTCCGGCTCTGCTCTCTGGCTCTAGCTCCGGCTCCTGCTGCGGCTCCGGCTCTGGCTCTGGCTCCAGCTCCGGCTCTGGTTCCTGGCTCTGGCTCTGGCTCCGGCTCCTGGCTCCTGCTCTGGCTCCTGGCTCCGGCTCCTGCTCTGGCTCCGGCTCTGGCTCTGGTTCTGGCTCCGGCGCGTAAAGCAAACGACCGACTGTTTTATTCATTTTAATGACGTCTAAATAATAAACCACAGAGAGTCGGCGTCGTTATCGCGGCCGCGGTGAAGTAGGATGTGTATTTTTGGATCCGAGTCGTTTTTTTTGTTTTTTTTGTAGGAAGGACGCGGGATTCGAGAGTCGGGGAAAGCCCTGTTTTCCTCTGACCCAGATTTTGAAATGCCAAATGAATCATGATCCAGCCGGCGCAGCTCACTTCCTCCGTCGCACTCGCATTTTAATATTTCCATGTTTACTTCGTGTTTTCAGGTACAACTTCTCGGTTCATTGTTTTGTTTTTTTTAATAACGTTTAATAAATCATCAGAGAACAAACGCACGACTTCTACTAAAATCAGAGGTGGTTTGTGAGTCGTGACTTCAGCTCGAGTCAGATTTGTGTCACTATTTTTAGGACTTGGGACTTTGACTTGAAGCTCAAAGACTCGGGACTTGACTTAGGACTTGAGGCCTGTGACTTGAGAAGACTTGATGCTTCTCCCAAAAATATAATAAAATATATATGTTTTTTGGAAATATTAGTTGATAAATGCAGAACTGAATTTTACAAAAACAAACTGGAACGTGTCGCTCTCACTTCTGGTCGTTACTTGGGATGGACCTGAAGTACTGTGATACTCAAAAGTACTGCAGTATTTACAGTACAACATCATAAAACAGAGAGAACTACAAAGAATATGATCCGTCCATTTCACTCCAGACACACGACAAAATAACTGCACTTTTAAATCTTAATTCTTTCTATTCTGACTGTGATGATTCACACTAAGAAAAAGTTGCATTTCTACAACTATTATATAAATACTCATATATATATAAGTACAATTTAATTTAAAAATTCATATAAATCGCAAAAAGGCGGGAGAGGGGCACAGATTAGCCCCGGTGGCACAGTTTGAAGGATTGGTCAAATGTAGACACTCACATGGGATCAATAGGGTCGACCCGAGGCTTAAATTAACCTTAAATTAACTTGATGTGTGACTTGAGATCTGTGCCGTGTGTCAGTCGACCGTGTGCTTCTCTGATTGGTTAATCAGCCTGTCAGTCACGCCCGTCGCGGAGGTGGCAGAGACAGTAAACGGCTCCTGAGGGGACGTGGGTAATGTTGGTGTTTTTACAGTTTCTAGAACATGATGACGTCTTTCCTTACATCGTATTTGACCAGGAAAAATCCACGAGGTGTAGATCAGGAGTGGAGCCACTTGAGAAACAGAAAATATTGTGGAGGCCAAAATGTTTAACTCAGTTCTGCAGAATATTAATTATATTTCTTGAAAAGCCTGGAGCTGCTCAGACTGGGAAGAGTTTATGTTCTGACTAAACAATGAAAAAGTGAGGTTCCCTTACAGAAAATGTCATTTAAAAACACCTCTGAAATAAAAACAATGCAGCTTTTAGTCCATGCATGAGGTCAAATTATAAAATATGTTTATTTTGTTTTTCATCATCCCGAGTTTGGAGCTAAGATTTTTTATGTGGAGCGACAACAAAACAAAATCCCGTTTGTTAATGTGAGAGGAGCAGAAGACAAACAGACTGAGCTGCACTTTCTTGTTCTTGTCGTTTTACAGCAACATCACGTCTTGGTCTCTTTGCAGTGGAAGGTGTTTCTTGGTGAACAGTTGGAGCCTTTCACTTTGGCGTTGACTTTTTAAATTCGTAACCGAGGTTGAGCGAGAGATCGGGATCCCGCTTGTCGTCGCTCCACATACAAAATGTTCTCTGTAAACTCGGGATGATTTTTTAGTCAGTCAATGTTTCCTTTTTGGTTCTTCCTGTGGATCAATCCTGCCCATCACCTTCACCTTTCACTATTTTTCAATTCCGTTGGGAAGAGAAACAGTTTGAACGGAGGTTTGCAGTCACACACATCTGATTCACTTTTGCATTTATGAAGTTCACAAACACATTTCTCAAGTCGTTTTCCGCTGTTTGGATCCAACAACCACAACAATTAACAATGTTCGAATCCCAAAACTAAAATATGACAATATCAGAACCAGAAACAAAACCGATATGGTTCAGAAGACTTGAAAAGATCAACTTTGACAATAGACACATCCCACTGGGAAAACAAACGAATCACTTTTTCGGAAAATCCTTCCCAGTGTGGACTGTGCAATGACCGGAAGTCCGAGATTTGTGATGTGTGTATAGAACGTGATTTTCAGGATTTAAATGGTCGCACTTTCTTTTCTTTTCCCGTGTGTCGTTATATCTCCGTGTAATCCCTTATCCATATTGGTTGTTTGTGTTTTCCGGCTTTCCTGCCCTCACTCTTCCTCTTTCTCTCTCTCTGTGTTCAGGTCGGGGTGATCTGATCGGCTCCGACTGCCTGACCCAGGACGAGGTGATAAAGACGAACGCGTGCGTGAAGGCCCTGACCTACTGCGACCTGCAGTACATCGGTCTGCGGGGGCTCTCCGAGGTGCTCGCGCTCTACCCCGACTACGCCCAGAGGTTTGTCAGCGAGATCAGGCACGACCTCACCTACAACCTCCGCCAAGGACGCAGCGGACAGGTAAACCACGACCGAGAGAAGAGCGACACTCACAAACAAACGCTTACGCAGATCTCAAACTGATGGGCGTCGTGTTTTGGCTTATCAGGTCTGATTTGAGTCTTCAGCGCCAAATTAGACCCGGGATAGTCCGATTTTAGACCTGGTTTAGCCCCAGATTAGACACGGTATAGTCCTGTTTTAGACCCGGTTTAGCGCCAGGTTAGACCCGGGATAGTCCTGTTTTAGACCCGGTTTAGCGCCAGGTTAGACCCGGGATAGTCCTGTTTTAGACCCGGTTTAGCCCCAGATTAGACCCGGTATAGTCCTGTTTTAGACCCGGTTTAGCCCCAGATTAGACCTGGGATAGTCCTGTTTTAGACCCGGTTTAGCCCCAGAATAGACCCGAGATAGTCCTGTTTTAGACCCGGTTTAGCCCCAGATTAGACCTGGGATAGTCCTGTTTTAGACCCGCTTTAGCCCCAGATTAGACACAGAATAGTCCTGTTTTAGACCCGGTTTAGCCCCATATTAGACCTGGGATAGTCCTGTTTTAGACCTGGTTTAGCCCCAGAATAGACCTGAGATAGTCCTGCTTTAGACCCGGTTTAGATCTGACGATACTTTGAAATCCAAATATTATCTTAGATGCGCAAAATAAATGTGCACCACTTGCCCAAAACACTTTTCTCCATGGAGTTTATTATTATTTCTTTGTCTGGAATGTTCCACAGTACGGCATTAAACCTTTCTATCTCCATGGAGACCAAACCTGACCAAGTTACGGGTCAGATCTGTGGAGAGGCGACCCCCGATCACAGCCAGAATTAAGTATTTTTGAGCTATAAAACCACATGTAATAGAATAAATGTAGATGTTAGAGCTGTTTAAAGTCACACTGTGGAACATTCCAGGCAGAGCGATGGCATCTCCATGGAGAAAAGCACCAGAAAAGTTCCACAGTGTACCTTTAATTGCCAGTTACATTTCAACTTAGTAATAAATAAATGATGTTTTGCTGCATGTTCAATGGATGCGATGTCAAACCAGGACTAAACCAGCTTTTATTTTATTATGTTTTAGTGCATTTGCTATATTTATATTAAGAGCTCTCACTGGATAACTTCTTCTTCAGTTTTACTCTTTGTCAAGTCAGTATTTCCATCTAATAAACCTTACACACAATGTTTTTGATGTAACGGTACAAAAATCAGGGTTCATTTTTGGTTCAGTTTGGGAACAAAATGCAAAACCGTTTGTGTTTTCATTAAGGCAAAAGTTTGTTTGAACATGAGACAAACGGGAAAATAAAATAAAGTCAAAGTGCTGCTTGGTAAAACTAATAGGTTCAATAAAATATTCTCAAATAATCAACAAATGTTTGAATATTATAAAAAAAAAAAATCCTTGTAAACAGTCAAAATCAAAATACAAATACTGCAATACCTCGAGTACTTCAGCCACTAAAGTAAACGCAGTAATCTCAAGTTTTCAACGAAGGAAACAAAAGATTCACAAACACAGACGCAAAGCTCAGACTGATAAACCACAAAAAGAAAAAAAAACAACAACGAGAGATTAGAAAGTTTTACAAACCAGGACTAAACCAGGACTGAACCAGGTCTAAACCACCACTAAACCAGGACTAAACCAGGACTAAACCAGAACTGATATTGCTCTGAAGGGGAGTGACTTAGCACAGAGAGCAAAGGGAGGGGAGACTCAGATCATCAAAAACAAATGTGAAACTTACTAAACATGTTAATATGTTGTCGTTTTTTTGGCGTATACAGCATTTTCAAAACAATAAGAAGAACGTGGTGATCTAAATCAGTGTGTGTTACAGTTAAACCCCAGAGAAGTATAATACTCCCGCTTTAAATATCCATAGTTTTCCAGCTATAATGTTATTTGATAATCCAGTAGAATAACCTTATTTAAATTCATGTCCTGTCCCCTGACCCTTCCCCTTGCACCAGTATTTGGAAAAGGATTAACCATCTGTCTTTGCGACGCTCGGAAAAAAACAAAACAAAACACAGCGCGATAAACACGGCGGCGTTTTTACAGTGAGCTTTCCAGGTTAACGCACGCACGGATTAGCATATGCATACCGTCAAGAGTACTGTAGAGCGAGCTGCTAATTAGAGCATGCACGCCAAAGAAGCACCCAGGGACCAGAGCGGCGCTTTGGCGAGGTTTAAAACGAGCTGAGCCTTTACTGGAGTCGTTATGTAATCGCCCGGCATCACACTGGACTGGAATATGAACGAGGAAATGTGCAGGGTTAGAGATTTAACAGGATTCTGGTTTTGGTTTTTCGGCAAAGCGATTTGGGGAAAATATCTCAGTGCATTTTTGTGATTACATTTGCGGTTTTAATTAGATTCTGTTCAAGGTTTTCGCTTTTTAATGTCCAGAGGAACGGACAAAAAGACTGAAATCTGAACTGACAAACTAAAACAAGAATCACTTTAACAACTAATAATTTTCTTTGTGGATCAATAAAGTCTAACTGTTGGTAACACTTTATGATAATTTATTTATTTTATTTCCATTTGTAGCCCCTCGGCAGGTAACACCACAAATTTAACGAGGAAAAAAATGCAAAAACAAGTGACAGATTTAAACTGAAAGTGTCCACAAGTCTGTTTTTCCTTTAGCCGCTGTTTCAAGTGGGATTTAAAAGTGGCAAGTGCTGGAGTCTGTCTTACTGATAAAGCGAGAATGTTCCAGAATTTAGAGCCTCTGACTGAGACACACTTTGTCTGAATGTGGATTGTCTGTGTGGAGCTCACAGTTCCCCCGGACTGTGGCCCTAGTTCCCACTAATGGTCTTTGTTTTAATAAAATCCTGTAACAGAGGGGGCAGCAAGTCCATGCAAAACTTTATAGGTAAAACATCCATGTTTAAAATCAACAAAAATTTAAAATTAAAATTAAGCAGGTTGTACTTGTCTAAAATAGTGCAGTGGTGAAATGAGAGTGGTTTCTTGTCCAGTATTTTTATGGCTTTTTAAAGTCCCCATCTCATGCAAAATCAACTTTTCAGAGTTTTCTACCTTCTCAGAGTGATGTGTGGGCCTTGTATTTGTCACTGAAATGTTTTTTTAGATTGATTCGGCGTTTTTTAAACAAATTGCAGCGTATTTCTGCCACCCTCCCACGTAACAATGAACTAAAGCTGCTACAACGATGACGCGGCAGATTCACCTATGACACACCCGCCACCCGTGGATGTTTCTGTGAGAATTGGTGGATGTTACAGGTCGGTTTGTTTGGATGTTACAGGTCGGTTTGTTTGGATGTTACAGGTCGGTTTGTTTGGATGTTACAGGTCGGTTTGTTTGGATGTTACAGGTCGGTTTGTTTGGATGTTACAGGTCGGTTTGTTGGATGAGGTTTTGTTTGGATGTTACGGTCGGTTTGTTTGGATGTTACAGGTCGGTTTGTTTGGATGTTACAGGTCGGTTTGTTTGGATGTTACAGGTCGGTTTGTTTGGATGTTACAGGTCGGTTTGTTTGGATGTTACAGGTCGGTTTGTTTGGATGTTACAGGTCGGTTTGTTTGGATGTTGCAGTGAGGTTTGTTTGGATGTTACAGGTCAGTTTGTTTGGATGTTACAGGTCGGTTTGTTTGGATGTTACAGTGAGGTTTGTTTGGATGTTACAGTGAGGTTTGTTTGGATGTTACAGTGAGGTTTGTTTGGATGTTACGGTCAGGTTTGTTTGGATGTTACGGTCAGGTTTGTTTGGATGTTATAGTGAGGTTTGTTTGGATGTTACCGTGAGGTTTGTTTGGATGTTACAGTGAGGTTTGTTTGGATGTTATAGTGAGGTTTGGTGGATTTTACAGCGAAGTTTGTTGGATGTTACGGTCAGGTTTTGTGGATGTCACAGGTTAGTTTGTTTGGATGTTACGGTGAGTTTTTTTAATTTTATTTTATGGTGAGATTTGTTTGGATGTTACTGCAAGGTTTGGTCGAGGTTACAGCGCGGTTTGTTTGGTTATTACAGTGAGGATTGTTTGGATGTTTCTGTGATTTTTTTTGGATGTTGCGGTGAGGTTTGGTGGATTTTTCAGTGAGGTTTGTTTGGATGTTACATGTTGGTTTGTTTGGATGTTGCGGCGAGGTTTGGTGGCTCTTACAGTGAGATTTGTTTGAATGTTACAGTGAGATTTTGTGGATGTTACTGTGAGGTTTGTTTGGATGTTACAGGTCGGTTTGTTGGATGTTACGTTCAGGTTTTGTGGATGTTACAGTGAGGTTTGGTGGATTTTAGAGCAAAGTTTGTTGGATGTTACGGTCAGGTTTTGTGGATGTTACAGATTGGTTTGTTTGGATGTTACGGTGAGGTTTTGTGGATGTTACATGTCGGTTTGTTTGTATGTTACGGTGAGGTTTTGTGGATGTTACAGATCGGTTTGTTTGGATTTTACGGTGAGGTTTTGTGGATGTTACGGTGAGGTTTTGTGGATGTTATGGTGAGATTTGTTTGGATGTTACTGCAAGGTTTGGTCGATGTTACGGCGAGGTTTGTTTGTATGTTACAGTGAGGGTTTTTTGTATGTTTCTGTGAGGTTTTTTGGATTTTACAGCGAGGTTTGGTGGATTTTACAGTGAGGTTTGTGGATGTTACAGTGAGGTTTGTTTGGATTTTGCGGTGAGATTTGGTGGCACACATCAGATGCCTCGGGGGGGAGGAGCTGTACCTGCTTGTCTCTGATGTGAAATGCTTTCCTCAGGTGGGACACAGAGCGGAGCAGCACTAATGCACCAACACAGGCTTTTAGGGAAATGGAGCACTCAGACGACGACGGCGGCAGCGGAAGACTCCAGCTGAATCATGTCTCACCGTGAAATTATACACAACATCTCATACATCACTATTACACCAGCTAAGTACTACTATCTGCCCACTTAATGAAGTAGCAGTAGTACTAGTAGTAGTGGTGGTAGTCGAAGTAGTAGTAGTTGTTGTAGAGGTAGTGTCAGTAGTAACAGTTTTATTAGTTTTAG